TAATTCACTGTTGGTAGCTGGACTAGTAAGTCTGGTAATAATACAAAATGAGCGATTGCCTAATTCTAGAGTATCGAACAACAAGTAACTTTGCATATTCCTCACCGCGATCTGTTCTGAGATCCAGAAGGATATAATTCTGTTGTGACGGCAAAGTCGATTGTAGCATAGTGTAACACGCCCGGCTGGCGCATCGGAACAGCAACCGCTGCAGACCCGAAAGCCTCGAATACTTCATCATTTCCATCCTCGTCTTTATTCATTTCCTCTAGCTCGTATTTCTCTTTCAGCCGCTGCTCCTCGTGTTCGAGTAGCTTCTTTGACTTCGCTTCAATCTTTTCTTCGTTTCTATTTTCTCTGGATACGGAAGGCCCAAGAGCATAAGTAGCAAGGCAAGATTGATCATCTCGCGGAGCAATTTCAGCATCAATTGTATCAAAAATACTTTGTTTAGTAGGACAAAGAATGACTGATCCCGCAGCTGCTGTAATTTGTGCAGAGCAATCGTCCGTGACAAGGCAATTAGATAATGATGGTGGAGACATTGAAGAAGAGGTTAATGACAAAGATCGGAAACCGCAAGCCAAGCCTTTCGGTCTGAGCCCAGAGGTAAAAAGCTCAACTAGGCGGCTTCGATCAGAAGACTCACTCGGCATGAGAAACGGATTGCCCAAAGGAATCCTACCAGAGAGCTTAGTGATCGAAACTCCTAGTTGACTATTAGTAGATGCGACCTCATCGCCTACACATGATCGCCAGCCTGCAAGCTGCTGATCTGAATGACAGGAAGCAGGTCTAGCCTCGCTTGATAAATCCGGCTCACATGCGAGTCGGATTACATCAGAAACTTTCTCTCGTGAAGGTGAAGCTAATTTCAAATGTGAATTTGCTTCGGCAATTTCCGTTTCCTCGCGATGAATGCCGTTTGATACGTTTGGGTTACGTTTTTTGGCGCCCTTGTGAAGTGTTTTAACGAGATCTGCAGTGTGAGAATACTTTGGAGTAACTTGGATGGCATCAGGAGAAACAGCGCAATTTTCAGCAGGGCGTATAGAGAGGCGCTGATGTCGAAGCGCTTCAGTGTCATGGAGAGAAACTGCCTTCATGGATAAACCAAGGTGAAAGATGGCCTAGTTAAGTAAAACGAAAGAAAATAGAGGGTAAAAAAAAAAGAATAAAGAAATTATGCCATCGTATACCACATCATAATAGGGTCTCAGTAGTTTAAGCATACCTATTTACCAACTTTGGGACGATATTGAGTTCAAAGGTAGTATAATTTTTCAGACCTAAACTGCCATACCAAAATAATTAAACAAATCTTTCCAAAACAAAGAAAGAACAGTAAATACTTGATTAATTTAATTTAAATTGAGTAAAAGCCCCTGATCTAGCGTAAGAATAAAATTCGAAGTTGAGGAAGGCTCGGAAGCCTGAAAGCGAGAAAGTGACGAAATTATAAAC